ATCTGAACCTGGAGATATTTAGCAAGTCTGATCTGAACCTAGAGATATTCAGTAGGTCTAATCTGAACCTGGCTGTATTGAGTAGCACTAATCTGAACCTGGATATATTCAGCAGGTCTAATCTGAACCCAGAAATATTCAGCAAATCTTAGCTGAGCTTAGATACATTCAGTAGGCTTAATCTGAACCTAGATATATTCAGTAGGTCTTATCTGAACCTGGAAATATTCTGTAGGTCAAATTTATCAATTGGTTTAATCAGTTTACCAGTTTTATGTTCATAGTTTATTTAGGTTTAAGTGCTCAGGTCAAGGACTTAGATTAGTTCATCCAGGTTTAGTACCCAGGGTTAGTTCATCCAGGTTTAATACCCGGAGTTAGTTTATCCTGGTTTAGTACCCGGAGTTAGTTTATCCAGGTTTAATACCCGGGGTTAGTTTATCCAGGTTTCATACCCAGGGTTAGTTAAATCCAGGTTTAGTACCCAGGGATTAGTTCATACAGGTTTAGTGCCCAGGGTTAGTTTAACCAGGTTAAGTACCCGGGGTTAGTTTATCCATGTTTAGTACCCAGGGATTAGTTTATCCAGGCTTAGTAGCCAGAGTTAGTTCATCCAGGTTTAGTGCCCAGGGTTAGTTTAACCAGGTTTAGTAGCCAGAGTTTGTTCATCCAGGTTTAGTGCCCAGGGTTAGTTTAACCAGGTTAAGTACCCGGGGTTAGTTTATCCAGGTTTAGTAGCCAGAGTTAGTTCATCCAAGTTTAGTCCCCAGGGTTAGTTCATCCAGGTTTACTGCACTGGGTTAGTTCAACCAGGTCAAGTACCCGGGGTTAGTTCATCCAGGTTTAGTAGCCAGAGTTAGTTCATCAAGGTTTACTGCACTGCGTTAGTTCAACCAGGTTAAGTACCCGGGGTTAGTTTATCCAGGTTTAGTACCCAGGTTAAGTACTCAGGGTTTTTTTTTTAGCCAGGTTTAGTATCCAAGTTCAGTACTCAGGATTAGTTCATCCAGGTTTAGTACCCAGGATTAGTTTATCCAGACTTAGTACCCAGGGTTAGTTTATCCAGAGGCCGGATTTAAAGAATTTGAACGGCGGCTTAAATTTCAGCCGCGGCTCAAATATGGTTGGTTTCACTTAAAATTATATTCAATATTTCAAGATTTAAGCCGGCGTTTTAATTGAAACCGGTTTTTGGCGGATTTAAGACCCGGCTCAAATGCATTAAATTCGGACACAGGTTCTGTACTTAGGACTAGTTTATCCAGGTTTAGTACCCGGGGTTAGTTCACTCAAGTTTAGTACCCCAGATTAGTTCATCTAGGTTTAATTACAGGGTTCCTCATAGGTGTTTTGTGGCAAGTCAGATTAAAAGAAAAAGTGGCAGAAATCTTCCCCCCCCTCTCAGATATTGAATTATTGGTTGTGAGAGGGGGGGGGGTTGCAAAATGTTTCTGACAATCAATCCTAATAAACAGTTAAAATGGCCTTATTAGTCCGAAACACTTTTTAAATTAAAACCAACTTTTTAGTCATATTCTAGAAAGCAAATTAATAGAAAATAGTGATAATAATATTTATAAAATCACGTGTTTCGGTCCAAAAGTAGGTTTGTTTCATATATTTAACGTTTCTTGAATTCATAATTTTTGAGATATATATACTTTCCACCATTTCTCGACAACTAAACTGCTGACACGGTTTAAAAAATAAATCCAAATTGCAGGTTTAAATAAAGATTAAAAGTTAATCTTAAAAGTATTAGTTTCCCTTGTTCGTGGCTTTTATACCTTCTGCCTGAGTCCTCGGGCAGCCTGAGTGCCTTATTTTACCTTTGCACATTTTTTGCTGAAACACTTGAAATTGCAATAAATGTTTGAAATTTTGGGTAAATCAGGCGTTAGCCTCACACCGGACTAACCAGAGTGAGCAGCATTCGGTTTCTTATATTTGAAATCAAACGTGTTTTGGTCTTTGATTCAATAATCATTTACTTCACTGATTTGTTTATGTTATAAATTTTCATTCAAAATGCACATGCCAACAAAAAAGTATTTAATAAAAAAGGCTAACAAATTATGTTTAATGGTTCAAATTGTGATCGAAAGTCATAGCTTTCTGGAATATTGACCGAACCGTTAAATTCACGTGGCCTGAATAGGGTTTAAATAGAACGCGCCTATAGATACATATGTATACATACAAATGTGTAGTAAAGTTTCTGAAAATCACTCAAGTTAAGTATTTTAAGTTAAGTTGATTACATGTTGTTATTATTATTACATGGACCAGTATTGAAAATATTGAAAAATTTGTAATCTACTAAACAATTTCTGTTCGAATGCTGTAAACTAGAGCCTTCAATCATTCTAGTAGAAAATTTTATTCAAGTTTAAAGTTGAATTTGTATTAGGATCTTATTACCATAATAAGTTTCATTTTAAGTATTTCTATCTCCATGAATTTAACCAGACTTCAGAATGTATATTTATGTACGTGGTGAACATTTCAATATGACATTATTCTTCCCATAAATGGTATTTTATATTAAAATCAGAAAACATTAAAAAATAAACAACTTTTTATTTTCTCGTCTTTAGGGTGTACAAATGTCTAAACTCGTTTAGTTTTTCCAGGTTTTCTAGACGAAATTATAATTTTTCCAAACTCGGTAATACACTTAAAATACATTCTATATATAAGATGTATAGAGGAACAAAATAAAGAATAAGAAATAAGGATAAATATAAGGTGTAGAGGAATAAAGATAAATATAAGGTGTAAAGGAATAAAGATAAATATAAGGTGTGGAGGAATAAAGATAAATATAAGGTGTAGAGAGAAATAAGGATAAATATAAGGTACAGACAGGAATAAAGATAAATATAAGGTACAGAGAGGAATAAAGATAAATATAAGGTTATAGAGAGGAATAAAGATAAATATAAGGTATAGAGAGGAATAAAGATAAATATAAGATGTATAGAGGAATATAAGGTGTAGAGGAATAAATATAAATATAAGGTATAGAGAGGAATAAAGATAAATATAAGGTGTAGATAGGAATAAAGGTAAATATAAGGTAAAGACTAGAGAGGAATAAAGATAAATATAAAATGTAGAGAGAAATAAAGATAAATATAAGGTGTGGAGGAATAAAGATAAATATAAGGTGAAGAGAGAAATAAAGATAAATATAAGGTAAAGAGAGATATAAGGATAAATATAAGGTACAGACAGGAATAAAGATAAATATAAGGTATAGAGAGGAATAAAGATAAATATAAGGTATAGAGAGGAATAAAGATAAATATAAGGTACTAGAAATTCAAGGCGCTTCGCGCCCTTCTTTCTAGCCTTAGAGGGCGCTTCGCGCCNAAGATAAATATAAAATGTAGAGAGAAATAAAGATAAATATAAGGTGTGGAGGAATAAAGATAAATATAAGGTGAAGAGAGAAATAAAGATAAATATAAGGTGAAGAGAGGAATAAAGATAAATGTAAGGTAAAGAGAGGAATAAAGATAAATCTAAGGTACAGATAGGAATAAAGATAAATATAAGGTATAGAGAGGAATAAAGATAAATATAAGGTATAGAGAGGAATAAAGATAAATCTAATTATAAACAAGGGATTATAAGAGAACTAAGTAATCTGATATATGTTTTCAGTTTACAATACATCTGTATAATAGTGTACACCTGTTTCAGTTACCTCTATCCTTCATAGTTCACACTCAGAGGTGTATTCTTTATATAACAGGTAATGATTTTATAATTCATAGTTTGTCAAATTTTCTTCTTCATGTAATTGGATTAGGTATTTAGTGATCTTTTTAATTCGCTCTTATAGGGACGTATAAAGGATTTGATTTAAGATGGGGAGGTCGCCAGCAGGGGCGGATACAGGGGGGTGGCAGGATCTTTGCACCAACTTGACGGATTCAGAGGGGGCGTAGCCCCCTCCCTGAGATTTCAGAATAGCAGCTCAGGACCTAAACACTCATATAGGTCGCAAAAATGTTTAGATTTCAGCCTATATACCGCCTTTAATTTTTCCTTAACAGTCCCTTTAAAGATATTCAATATAAGGTTTCAATATTCAGAAGAAAGAGAAAGAAAGAAGACGACAATTATTACACTTTACATGACGAATACAAAAGACGACAATGTTTTAGCTTTATACCAATTACAATTACGACATTCTAAGTGAACAAAAGGCATAATATAAAAGTATATTTTATAAATCAAATTCTAAATAATAATCTTAATCTGCAAGTCACACAGAGGCCGTTCCTTCCATAAACTACATTATTGTTCGACAACTTGACGTCTCCTATATTGGTCGTCAAGTGTACGGAGAATTTATCTATCTATCAGATAAGAACTAAGCATGAGACATCTAGCGGCCAAAATTCGCCCCCAAAAGTATGTGAACTACACTACCTTAGTGTCTAAAAAAGTCTTTAAAAAGGCATGTTTATAGATGTCGTCTTCAACAAAATAAGTTCTTCTCAAACAAAACAAAAAATCTAAGATTATCAATTGTGTTAAGGATAAAATCCTGTGAGCTAAAATGTAAATTTTCAATCCCCCCCTCTCCCTTTAAATCTAAAATTGCTTTGGGAGGGAGGGAGATCGACGGACCCATTTTTTGCCCTAGCACTCCTAACACTATCACTTTGAAATTTTAAGAAAAAGTAATTCAGAAAGTTTTTTAATTCTTTTTATAGAGTAGGCTACAGGACGGGCGATAGGGTCAGTTTTTTAGCATCGAAGGTCGTCGTTGATATCCTTGATATTTTTACCAGCGCATATAAAAATTTAGTTATATTTCCTCAAATGTATAGGATATATTATGCTATGATTTAACTTTAAATAAAAGTTACATAAATTGACATACATATATAAAGTATATAAGATATATTATATATTCAGATGTATAGATATATGAACATGTTTTAAACACCTGTTGTTAAAGCAACTAAATAAACAGTATCAGACAGATGCTGTTCCTTTAAACACATCTTAACCAGGTTTTTAAATACTGAACACTGTACATTGTACATAGTATTTTGTACACTGAACATAGTATGCTGTAACCTGTACATAGTGTTCTGTAATCTACACATATTATTCTGTACACTGTACATGGTGTTCTGTAATCTGTACATATTATTCTGTACACGGTACATAGTGTTCTGTAATCTGTATATATTATTCTGTACACTGGCATAGTATTCTGTACACTCTAAATAGTATTACGTACACTGTAGATATTATTCTGTACACTGACATAGTATTCTGTACACTCTACATAGTATTTATACTGTACATGTAATTCCGAACACTGTCCATAGTATTCTGTACACTCTACATAGTATAATGTACACTGTACATATTATTCTGTACACTGACATAGTATTCTGTACACTCTACATAATATAACGTACACTGTAGATATTATTCTGTACACTGTACATATTATTTTGTACACTGTAAATAGTATTCTGTACACTGTGCATAGTATTCTGTACACTGTACATAGTATTCTGTATTATGTATATAGTATTCTGTTCACTGTGCATATTATTCTGTACACTGTACATATTATTTTGTACACTGTGCATAGTATTCTGTACACTGTATATAGAATTCTGTACACTGTACATAGTATTCTACACATTGTACATAGTATTCTGTACACTGTACATATTATTATGTTCACTGTTCAAAGTATTCTGTACACTGTCCATAATATAATGTACACTGTACATATTATTCTGTACACTGTGCATAGTATTCTGTACACTGTACATAGTATTCTGCACACTTTACATAGTATTCTGTATACTGTACATAGTATTCTGTACACTGTACATAGTATTCTGCACACTGTACATAGTATTCTGTATACTGTACATAGTATTCTGTACACTGTACATAGTATTCCGAACACTGCCCATAGTATTCTGTACACTCTACATAGTATAATGTACACTGTACATATTATTCTGCATACTTTACATAGTATTCTGTACACTGTACATAGTATTCTGCACACTTTATATAGTATTCTGTACACTGTACATAGTATTCTGTACACTGTACATAGTATTCTGCACACTGAACATAGTATTCTGCGTTGTACAAGTATAAGTTCAATGTAAGAAGTTAAAAACTTTACTCAAAGTTCGAATGTAATGGATTTCAATCGATGACTTTAAAGTAACTTTAGACGTGTATGATTGATTGCGGTACCCTTAAAAGTTTTGTATTATCAAAAATGAATAAGCTATGCAAATCATTTTCAATTATGGTTTTTATAAAATTGACTTATGGATTGTTTGAAGTGACAAACCAGCGTTCAACCCGGAAAACGTTTCTACTTCCTTATCATAAATCCGAGAAAGCTTTCAAGGATACCAAAGAGAATTTTTAAATGAAATATCACTTGAAATTACATTTCTCCATTCAAATTCACAGCATCTCTAGACACTTATAAATGATAGTTTTATATCAACTGAGGTGCATCGTGAATTGACTACAAGGGATGGTTTTAATGTACTTTACATACATGGGTGTTACAATAAACATTAAAACACAAAGACATTTTCACCATTATCAAATTGGTGATTCAAACTTCTCGTAACATATACATTGCTTGAATTAATTGCCTGTAAATTTTTGGATATTTTTCCTAAAACACAATATTCAACTGGGATGAAGTAGTATAAACTAAAAGATCGTCGTCCATTAAAATGGGACATCCTGTTGTTGTTGTAAAACCATAAAATTCATTTTATGTAAAATAAGGTATCATCCTTGGAGTATAGGATGGAAGAAAAGGATCAGTAGACTAGAATTATAGGACGGATGAAAAGGATCAGTAAATTAGGAGTATAGGATCACTAGACTAGGAGTATAGGATGGATGAATAGGATCAGTAAATTAGGAGTATAGGATCAGTAGACTAGGAGTATAGGATGGATGAATAGGATCAGTAAATTAGGAGTATAGGATCAGTAGAATAGGAGTATAGGATCAGTAGAATAAGATCAGTAGACTAGAAGTATAGGATCAGTAAACTAGGAGTATAGGATCAGTAGACTAGGAATATAGGATGCATGAATATTGATCAGTAGATTAGGATTATAGGCTCAGTAAACTAGGAGTATGGGATCAGTAGACTAGGAGTATGGGATCAGTAGACTAGGAGTATAGGATCAGTTGACTAGGAGTATAGGATCAGTATAGACTAGGAGTATAGAATCAGTAAACTAGGAGTATAGGATCAGTAGACTAGGAGTATAGGATCAGTAAACTAGGAGTATAATATCAGTANTAGGAGTATAATATCAGTAAACTAGGAGTATAGGATCAGTAGACTAGGAGTATCAGTAAACTAGGAGTATAGTATGGTAGACTAGGAGTATAGGATGGCAAACTTTGAGTATAGTTTTAATAGATTAGGAGTATAGGATCAGCAGACTAGGAGTTTAGGATGGAAGACTAGGAGTATAGAATCAGTAGACTAGGAGTATAGGATGGTAAGAATAGGAGTATAGGATCACTAAACTAGGAGTATAGGATATTGTAGACTAGGTGTATAGGATTGGCAAACTAGGAGTATAGGATCAGTAGACTAGGAGTTTAGGATGGTAGACTAGGATTACAGGATTAGTAGACTATGAGAATAGGATGGTAGATTGGGTGGACCAGGATGATTGGTTTGGTATCCACCCATCATTAAACTCTGGCACACATCTTACACTCAAACCGACACCGTCACTCCTTCATCATGTCTCTTGCCTTATCTTAATCATCTACATCTTAGTTTCTAATCTTGGAGTAAAAACAGAGAAAGTTTGTTTGTACGAATTAGGCTCATTTTGTCAGTTGTCTTAACAAACCTAATTTAAACAATAAAACACTTTCTTAGGATTTAAAAAATATTAATTTCAGGACGTTTTTGACGAGGTTTGGAAACCATGACTGAACCAGGGGTCCGGAGAAATAAGAGAAAATCGTTGGAACCCAAGAAGTTACAAACGTTTCTGGAGTCTTCGGAAAAGGAGACAATATTTTCTCTTCAACCGTCCTCGGAGATAAAATTAATCCTTAAACCATTCTCGGAGTTAAAATCAAACCTCAAACCATCAGAGATTGAACTGAAACCTAATTTTAAACCCTTGGAGGGAGTAAAATGGAGCAAAGTTCAGACATTTGAACCCTGGCGGTCAAGATTGAATAGTACTGGGAGCGAGGAAAGATCTCCCCCCTTGATTGAACCCGGACCGGAGCTTGAAACCGAACCTGAACCCGAACCAGAAAAAAGATTTAGAATTCCTTCTCCACTTCAGAAATTCCGTGACTATTCTTCAACACAGATGATCGTTCCTAAAAAAAGGTTTAAAATTGATTCATTGATTAATCATGTTAGTGAAAGAGAACCTAGGCTCCTACCCTGTATGTTCCCTGGACCTGTTGATCCTATCCAACCTGTTCAAGAGGAACCTTTAGATCTAATTATACCAAAAACGTCTAAAAAGCCAATCTACGATATAAAGTCAACCGAAGTCTCAAAACGAACCAAACTCACAAAAGATATTTTACAACAGAAAAACTACAAGAATTCGACAAGAATCAGACGAATCGAAGCGAATGCTCGAGAACGTCAAAGGGTCCACACGATAACTGCAGCATTTGATACACTGCAAGCTGCTATCCCATCAGAGGATGAAAATATCAAACTATCCAAACTATCTGTGATAAAGATTGCTACAGCCTATATCATGGCTCTCTCTAGAATGGCTGGATATGATTATACAGAGGATAGATCTGCTCCGTCCCTTGAATCCGTTCTTGAACATTGCAGAGAAACCATCCATACAGAATCTAGGATCAAGAAAAGACTGTGAGCGGGCATCATTATTTATTTCGTCACAAAATTTCACAAATTACAGAAATTTTAAAGAATATATTTATTTTTGTTTGGTTTGGTTTTCAGTGGAGGAAGGAATTATCGTCTTCAAACAGCTACCGAAGTCCATTGGAGACCTTGTTTGTCTCATTAAAGGCCTGACACATCACATTGGAGGACTAATACATTTATGTTTGGCCCTTCTACATTTCAATGGAGGCCGAGTGAATCTTGTTGAAGATTTGTTAGGCTCCAAGAATTATCTCTCAACTTAAAATTTTTAAGTCTCAAAATTTTGGCCTCCAATGGAATACGGTTGGTCGATGATGATAATGTCTTCAAAAAAGACATATTTTATTTGTTATTTATATACCAGTAGAATAAACTTGAAAAGGATGTTAGTTAGAGAAGATAAAAATATGTGTTTTTTATGAAATAGAAGAATATAGAGAAATTCAAAGTTCTAGATTAAAAAAGTATATATTTAAAAATGTGCATGGCCTTGAGTCTCATATATTTTATTTATGTACAAAATTGCTAAAAATGTAGCTAGCCATATTCTTACAGTGAGAAACAGAAACCTGTGGAATAGGTCTAATTTTAAACTCCCGTTATGATTATAAACTGTCCATTGAACATGTACAGTGTACATACAATTTCACAAAATATGGAATTTTTCACCTACTATTGTAACTAATTGCTTTGTTACAAAATCAAATGCACTTAAAGATTGATTTTAAGGAGTGTTCGCGAAAAATGAAAGGGGGTATAGGATTACGGTGAAAAATACTCGCTTTTGATCGCTTCTAATCTTACTTCTATCTGTTGCGTCTATAAGGAGAAAATTGTTAAAAACGACTAATACCGAAGTACGTTGAAGTACGTAGCGTCCATACAAATTCAGAAAGTTGCAATATACGACTCGTATAGTATAATAATCAATTTAATTAACTAGTTAGTAAGGATTAACCTACGGCTCAGTAGCATTAGAATAGATATATTACAAATAAAATAATTACAAAACATATAATTACATATGATATAAGTAACACAAGATATGAAGTATAAAAGATTTTAGTTACAAAAGATATTATTACATAATCTATTGTATTTGAACACATGAAACTGAAATAATTGAACTATTTTATGTTCATTTAAACAAGAAATTGTCTTAACAAAGCCTAACCCTGAAATAACGCATACATTTAAATTATTTATTAGTTCAGTTCAACTATTTATATGTTTATTTGAATTCTTAGCCGCAGCGTTTGGCCCCAGTCTGTCCTAGCCACAGTGCTTGGCCCAGGAACCGTCTTAACCTAACCTATCTCTAATTATAATACAATTTCTTGTTCAAATGAACATAAAATTAGTTCAACCAAACCAAAAATAGTTCAAATGTATACATAATGGATATTTTTTAACCTTGGACATTTTGGAATTTTGGACATTATGAAATTTTGGACATTTTTTAATTTCGGACATTTTGTAGCTTTGGACATTTTGTAAATTTTAGCATTTTTTTGGGGGTGATGTGTAATTTTAGCTGTTTTGTTATTGGACATTTTGTTTTAGAACGTTTTGTATCCACTCTTTTATATATACTGTCTACTCAGAGAATTGAGGAAAACAACATAAAACGTTTTGATAAAACGTAATTTCAAGTAGATTATATCAAGTACAATAGGTGGCAACAGAGAAATGGACCAATTATACACAACGACGCAAATGTCAAATATAACAAGGAAAACGAAATTTTCTCACATTGGTTGACATGATTTCCAAGATTAAATAAAAAGTTTAAAAATAGAGGACACATAAAATTGCACTTATTTTGGTGTAAAATAAGCACTTTATTCTAAAATTAACGCTGTTATTAGTAATTTTGTTGGACACAAAAACTTAGTCGACACTTGTGACGTCAGAATACAGCTATACTGAGTGTACAATTTCTATGTTGTCATCTATTGTACTACATAGAATCTATCTGCCCTCCATAGAGAGGCATCGAGATTAATATATAGGTTTAAATTCAGGCCCGTAACCAGGATTCTTGCGCGCCGCAGGAGAAAATTTTTTTTTTTTTTTTTTTTAAAAAGCAATGCTTGGTTTGTTTTTAGGTTACGGGCCAATATATATATTTTTGTTCTACATTTTAAAGGAATTATTAATTTCTCTTAATTTATGGAGTCTCATGTCAGATCAACATGATATCCCTCAAAGCCCTCAAGAATGAATGTAATATCCAGTTTAACTTTGAAAATTAATCATTTTCAATTGTTGTGTCTCAATAAAAGTGACTTGCGGAATAGATGATCATTTCGGAGCTAAACAATTTTCAAACTAGAAAAACGACAATATCTTCCACATTTTTAATTAGATAAAGGTTTAAAGGGTACTGCTGGGATTCAGGCATGCCCCGCTTCAAACTAATAAAATTATTAAAAAGTAAATTTAATGAAGATGCAAAAAAAGACTTAAAAAGGTTCTTAATTATTCAAATTAAGTTGTAGGTCAAATAGTGATCACAAAAAAGCTTAGTTTAATTTAAAAATGTGATATGAAAAGATTTATTGAATGTGAAAGAAAATGGTTTAATTTGAATTTAGCGCGGAATTTATCGGTTTCGTTTGATACGAACACCTCCTCCTTCTAATATTATTCCGGGGGTATAATGCAGAGCTCAGAGGGGGGTAGATCGGAGCAAAGATAGGTTTAACCAAACCTAGATTGGTTGTGGAGGAGAACCCCTTGGAACAGTCCTGGTTTACGAGATTATAAAACAGGATAGGAATCTAGGTCTAAATAGGTTGGAGTTAAGATTGAAGTGTATCAAATATATTCTGGTTTAAGGACGGAAAGGTTTTGTATTTCAGGGTTACCCTAAACCAGTGCTTGTTGTTACAATATACGTATTTACTATTTATATTCATACTAGCTTGGGAACCCAACTTTAGCTATACTATATATACTATATATAGTCAACCTATACTATATATAGTCAACCTATACTATATATAGTCAACCTATAATTAAAACTTAGAATGTTTAACCTAAGCTAAAAACATTCCCGTGGTTTTATATTTAGATATATTCAGACTATATAGCTTGGGAACCCAGTGGTAACTAGAAACTAAGATTTCTTAATAAAATTCAACACACTTCACTTCAACTACCAAGTTCCCCAATCAAAATTAGATCCAAATCGGTCAAGGGGTTTATGTGTGATTATTACACTTAAAAACAAATAAACAGAGATTACTTTATCTTCATACTAGCTTCGGAACCCAGCGCTGCCCAGGTTACTAAAAGTTACTCCGCCGTTTACCCGCACTTGAACGATTGTACCGGGAAATTAATTTTCGCTATTAATGTCGACTTACTCAATTTAGAATCTCAAAACAAAACTAAAAACATTCCCGTGGGTCTCCCGAGTTACCCAATCAAAATTTGAGGCAAATCGTTCCAGGGGTTCATGATCGGACAAACAAACAGAGATTACAACATTATATATATAGATATATTGGATGATGAAATTTATTCTGTAAATCTTGTTATTTTCCTGAATATTTATAACCATGCGTAAAGGTGTTTAGTTTATACAGTGTAATTAAAAACATGTGATTCATTCTTCGTCCTGTATTCTTCTGTCCAATACGGTTTATTGTGTACAGGTGGTGCTTTATTGCTGTCACTTTAAGTGTTATTATGTTGGATAAGCTGATAAGCTCTTTATAGATACAGCAGAGGTGGGATCAAAAAGGAAGCATGCAATTTACATTTCGTAAAGTCGTCTCATTCGTCTCATGCTTTGTGGGTAACCCTGTATCCTGCATAAGAAAGACGAGCAGAGGAAGAAGTTCTTAATCATGTCATCATTGATGCTTAGTTTTCTGATTAAAGGGACTGTAAGCGTAATTTTGAAGTGACCTTCCATGTATAAGAGGAACTTCCCGATTTACAACAATACCATTAAATTTTACAACAATACCTTTAAATTTTACAACAATACCCTTAAATTTTACAACAATACCCTTAAATATTACAACAATACCCTTAAATTTTACAACAATACCCTTAAATTTTACAACAATACCTTTAAATTTTACAAAAATACCCTGAAATTTTACAACAATGCCCTGAAATTTTACAACAATGCCCTGAAATTTTACAACAATACCCTGAAATTTTACAACAATAACCTGAAAGGTTTCGTCTGATCAAGTATGAATAGATATCAATGTGTATAATTTCAAAAACTGATTATTTTCAACTGTGGTTTGTTTCCCTGCAAGAGTGACTTGCACATTTCTTCTGCAGGAAAACATAAAGGAACTATCATAATTAAACACTTTCAACCCTAGAAAAAAATACCATTTTTCCACAGCATTGATCAGATAAAGGTTTCGAGGGTACCGTTGTGAATCGGACATTAGGACTGCACTTGATCCCAGATCAGCTTACCCTCAGATCATGTCCATATCAATACAATAGTTAAAACAGGTTTAAAGAAATTCTTAAACAAACTTGGAAAAAATACAGACTGTCAGTTGAGGATATATATTTCGATAAAAATATTATAAACATCAGTCCAATGATGTGTGGGGTTGGTGATGTCTAGATTTAAAAACATATCAAAATTGATCTGGGCTTGCTTTGTACAGTCCAAACGAAACCTATCCAAATTGAGACTTAATTGGATCCCAATTGATTAAAACTTAACATTTAAAACAAACAAGATTTTTGCTTTATTCATGAAAAGAAAATTTTATCAAGTTTAAACAGAGAAAACTTGGATAAATGCCTAGAAATCAAATTGGAATCGGATTACCAAGGATCATAGAATAAAGAAAACTAAACTTAACATTTAAGCTTACAATAAATTTAGTTTTGTCAAGAAATAGATCTTAAGCACTCAAGGATTTGTATTGTTTGTTTGTTTGTTTGTTTGTATGTGAATAAGGACCACCCAGGGGCCTCACTTCTATTCTAATCTAAACCTTAGATTTGTTCCAGAGTTTCAGGCCACAAAGCAAACCTTAAGCAATACCTGATTAAGCACCAAGCCAGATTTGCCACGGAAATACAAGTTGAATTGGAATTCTGAAACCTATTGTTGCTCTCTTCAATAATATCAAGAGATTTAGATTCTCTGTTTATATAATATATGAATATTGAAATTACATTTATTCAATACTCCTTACTAGTATTTAGCACTGTGAGAATGGTATTTGAATTAGAATGAGACGGATAAGAGGGTAGAGAAGGTGGAGAAGGTGGAGAAGGCATAAAAGGATAAGAAAGGATAAGAAAGATGTCATCAATGGGAAGGATGAGAAGGATGAAGTTTCAAAAGAATTGGAAGGTAGAGAAGGATGGGATGGATGAGAAAAATGAGAAG